GGAGTACTTAAGGACTTCACACTTTGTGTTTTAATTTTCAGTTAATTTGTGCTGCTGGGAGAGTGGGTGACAAGCAAAACAAAGTATATGTGCTCTTGCATTTAGTTATGGGGTATTGGGTGTTTTTTAACTTTCTCTTATTTTTTATAAGAGTTTTGAGCATACACTCAGCCAGTGTTGCATGTGTTCAGCAGGGTTTTGGTGTGTTTTTGTTTTTTAAAAGAAGAGCAGTAACAAAAATCTGTATTTCCTGTAGTTAATTAAGTTCTTACATCTCCAGTCCTAGAACACTCTTATCCTATACCCTCTTGTCAGCTGGTGAGGCCATGAAATACTCAGTGGTAACAGACTAGTTAATCTAATTACTCTGAAGTAAAGGGTGTGGAAACAAAAGCATTAATTTTGATTTTGTGTTAATTCATAGTTATATTGGTTTTTCTTCCTGTTTTGTTTGAGTTTATAGAAATGAAAATTTGTCAGTCTTTAAATTTTTGCATGGTTTTGGGTTATATGGAAATGTATTTATGAAAAGAAAAGACTGATGTGATAACCATGTTAGATATATGCTTGATGAATTAAATCATTGTAATGGTAACTTCTACTCTGTGTTATTTAATGTAAAAATTTTTGCAGAGATGCTGCTATTCTGTTGTAATCCTACACCTTCTTTAGCCTATAAACAGACATCAGAGAGAATCCACAAATTCATATTTGTTTTAAACTGACCCAGTGCAAATTTAGATTTTTTTTTTTCCCTATGATGAAGTGAAAACTGTATTACTATTAACTTTTGCTCTTCCTGAGTGCATTTAGATCAGTTTAGATCAGCTGTCAGTCTGTCTGTTAGAGGACTGTCCTGTGGTGACTGTCTGGGTGCATCTTTCTCCTCGATCTTCGGTGACGTTTCAGCAGTGGGGATTGGTGGAGGTGTCTGAGCAGCGTCTCAAAAGCCTTGACTGAGTCTCTGCTGTTCAGCCTGGAGAAGGGGAGACCTCACAGCACCTTCCAGTACCTAAAGGGGCTCCAAGAGAGCTGGAGAGGGTGTGCAGTGATGGCACCAGGGGGAATGGCTTGAAGCTGCCACAGGGAGGTTAAGATCAGACAAAGAGAAGTCCTTTGTTGTGAGGACAGTGAGGCACTGGAACAGAGGAGTGGTGTCAGCCCTGTCTCTGCAAGTGTCCAAGGCCAGCTTGGATGGGGCCCTCAGCAATGTGAAAAAAGATGTCCCTGTGCAAGGCAGGGTTTTTTTATATATGCATTTACATGTTAATATAGGATATTGCCTAAATGTATAACCCTTACATCATCTTTTAGGAGCACTGGAATTCCAATTTTTATGTCTCTGAGCTGGGTCTTGAATGAATACATAGGTTATACAGATCACTTATTGATTGTAGGAAGTTAGTGTAAATTAATATTGCTTGGTGATTTTAGAGTGGATATGAATATGAAGGAGGGTTATGAAACAGAAATCTACCCAGGTATCTTACTGTGGTGAGAGGGATGGGCCTAAACCTGATGAGAAATGACTTAACATTTGTTTCCCTCAACTGATAGCTTATGTTCTGCTGATTCATATGGAACAAATGTTTTCTGTTATGACTCTTCAATGTAAAAGACATAGAGATTACAGTAGATGCTTTTAAACATTTATGTTAGTGTTTATATATACACCTTTGAATGTGTGTATTTTACTATGCATTTGGTTGCAATGTTTTACTTAGGAGAAAAGCATTTATAAAAGCTGAGCCTACTTGCATAGGAACTCAAAATTACCAGTCCAAATAGTGTTAATCAGAAGTTATCTTCTTGCTAGAGTTCATGATTAAAATGCAGCACATTGAAATAATCTGTGACTTAATCTGAACATCTGAATTTATTTTATAGAATATGGCAAACAGCTGCATTTCAGTTTGGAGCTAAAACAAATACAGTATATCGACCCATTGAAAATCACGGTAGGCTTTTCAGTTTCATGATAGCTGTACTTACTGAAGAAAATTTATTTGAGAGTGCTTCTGCTTTTGAATTATCTTTTTTTTTTTTTTTTTTTTTTTTTTTTTTTTTTTTTAATGTCCGGAAGAAAGGAAATAGAACATATGGAGGATGGGGCTTTGATGTGTAAAGAAGTTAATTATCTAAACCATCAAACAAAATGTGGGCTGTGGAAGTAATTATTGTAAAGGGTCTGATGAAGCCTGACAAGCTGTTGGTTTTTTATGTCAAGAAAATGCTGTACACCTGCTTGATTTGAAAGTTAAATTGTTTGGTTGCAGTAGGAGGACTCAAGTTTGTAGTGAAGCAGTAGCTGATAAGCTTTCAAGCCACTGAGATGTAAAGTCTTCAAATTTTTTTAATTGAACTGTTCTTGTCCACTTGGAAGGCAGGAAGCTAAGAAAGGATTTGCTCTAGAATAGGACATGCACAAATCACAGGTCGTATGCTGTGAGGAGGCAGCTGTGGAATTGGGCCCCATGGTTTTTGGGAATTTTGGGAGAATGTTTCATAAATTAGCAGAACAGAACCTCATAGATAAAGCACAATCTCTCATGGATGTTCAAAGAAAATAGTTATATGCTTCAAGTGATGTAATTAGTTTTAAAAAGCTCTAAATTAAAAAAAAAAACCCTCCTTAAATCTTTGAATATTATTCACTTTTTAATGAATACACTGTTCTCTATTTATATTCAATACCACAGTATTGGTACTGTGGTATTGAATATAAAAATATAGCTACTAATTGCTAATTAATCCTAATTGCTCCCAATGAAGTGATGGTCAATCAAATACATATAAATTTCTAAATCTTTAGGCTGTTTCTGCTATGGTGGGTACAGAGACAGCTTCATCTTAACTCTCTTCCATGGATATATGGAACTTTTCTATAAATACTGGCACCTTTCTTTGTTAAAGAGGGTTTTTACTTGTTTTTTATTTTTTAAATTCACTAATTTACTGACTGTTTAGGTTAGATGACTGGTAACTGCTGATTATGGCAGGATCCTGACAACAGTTTAGCCTTGTGTGTAACTACTCAGGTGATTAAAATCAGATTTGAGTGGGAGTAAACTTGTGATTCAAGTTACACATGTGCGTAAGTGCTTGCAGGATGGGGGACCTAAATTAGAATCTGCCTGAAGATGAACTGAAGTCTGATAATCTAAATGAAAGCATTAATAAAAAAATTAAACTTATGACACCAAGCTGGGTGGGGTAGGGAGGCTGTACAAAGGGATCTGGAAGGGCTGGGTTAATTGACCAAGGCCAGCTTTATGAGGTTCAACAAGTTCAAGTGCTGGATGCTGTATTAAGTAACAATAACCTGGTGCAGTGCTGCATGCAGGGTGGCTGAAAAGCTGTTCAGTTTTGAAAGGACCTGGGTGTGCTGGTCAAGAGCAGCTGAACCTGAGCCAGCTGTGCCCAGGTGGCCAAGAAAGCCAAAGGCCCCTGGGCTGTACCAGCAGTGCAGTGGCAGCAGGGCCGGGGCAGTGACTGTCCCCTGCGCTGGGCACTGCTCAGGTCACCTCCAGGGCCGGGCCCAGTTCTGGCCCCTCAGTCCAGGAAGGACATTGAGGGGCTGGAGCGTGTGCAGGGAAGGCAACAGAGCTGGGGAAGGCTCTGGAGCACAGGTCTGAGGAGGAGCAGCTGAGGGAGCTGGGAAGGGGCTCAGCCTGGAGAAAAGGAGGCTCGGGGGGACCTTGTGGCTCTGCACAGCTCCTGACAGGAGGGGACAGTCAGGTGGGGTTCTGCTTTTCTCTTGTGTACAAAGCCGTAGGAGAGGAAACAGCCTCAAATTGTGCCAAGGGAGGTTCAGATATTGGGAAAAGCTTCTTCACAGAAAGGGTGGTCAAACATTGGAACCGACTGCCCTGGGAAGTGGTAGAGTGGATTTCTATTCTAGAAAACAATCTTATCCTTTGAAATTTGAAATGGAGAGAGATAGACTCTCTTACAGAACAGCAAGCTATAGCAGCATAAAGTTTTTATGGTCGCTACTACTAATAGTGCAGGAAATGAGCAGTGCAACTCAATTGTAACTAGTGTGTAGCAAACTGGAAGACTAACAGATATAGTGAGAATAAATCTTGTTTATCAGGGGACTTGCACAATATACAATTTTGTATTAATTTTTTAAGGGAAAAATGAGACTCCCTTGTCCATATTAATGGAGTTTTCCATAATAAAATTTTGCTTAGTCAGTCCTTTAGTAAATGAAATTATTTTTTCAAATTAAATAGCTCAAAGCCATTTGATGCAGAGACCCTGTAGCCGCACGCTACTACAATTTGACTTGCATTTTGTTAAAGAGGAAAATGTAGATTTATTAATTACTTCATAGAATATAAGGAAAATTGTCCTGGATTTGCTTTGGAGTTCTTGAATGAGATATTTATATAGAAAAGCTGTAAAATACTTTTTGTAAAAATAGTACCTTCAGTGCTGTGAGTATTTTGATGGTGGTTGGGTCTCACTCTTTCTAATGCATTTCTGTTTTAAGAATTTGTGTGTGTGAGGGAGGTGTTTGATAATGGAAATTTCTGATCTCTGTGCTCATAAAGTTTTAGCTGGCTTTTTGTGAGAATCACTTTGGCCTTGTTGGAGATGGTGTGGCTATGATTTACTGGTGGTTAGGATATGCAGGAATGTAAGAGGATGATTGGGCAACAGAGATTCTGGTGTCTGGGAATACCATCTATTCCAGAGAAGTGGTGTTTTTATTTTAATGCTTTTAAACATTGGTACTTTTTAGGATACTTCTAAATTGTTATTTTAGAAATAGTATGTTTCCAATACTTTGGTTACAGTAAACATCAACTCAAGCTTTCTGTTGCCTCATATCAGCTTCTTTTTTTGCATGCGGACCCTTTGCCTTCCATGTTACTCCAAGTATCTTTTCTTCCTTTCAAATACCTAGTGTGACGCATACATCTCTTGGATGTGTGCTCTCTTGGAAATGAAATACAAGTATTGTAAGTGCTGTTATTTCTTTGTTTACCCAGATGAGCAGCACCGTGGCCAGCCCCATGTCGGCAGTTGCCTCTTCAAGCAGTGGAAGAAGATCAACAAGCTTTACACTTGAATTGCAGAGTATGATGTGAGTACTCAGTCAAACTATCTGGCAGCATCTGCATTGTGTATTCATCTTTTAGCTGATGTCTTAGAATGTGTAAGTAAGGGTGATGGAGGGAAGAAGAACAGGTGTTAGTGATGGAGCTGTTAGTATTTTACTTCTGATTTGTAAAACATTCAGAGATGACTTGAGTAAATAAAACCCATATCCTCTATTGAAAGGAGAGTAAATGCTGCTGAGTAAAGAAATGTGTTTTTAATATTTACTTTAGAAGTCTTTGAAGTCCTCTATTTCTCAGCCCTTCATCAAAGAAAGCTAAATTTCCTGTTGTCATAGATATGTTTTTAAATAAATACTTTTTATTAACATCCTTCAGTGCTAATACAGAGAGATAAATTGCTGAGGTCATAATATTGATGATGAATTTATGATATTGAATGCTTATAAATAACTGGGGTTTGCCAGACAGGAAGTAAATTTGTTAGAAAAAGAAGTTATTCTTTCAAATGAACACTGGATTCTCAGAAACACAGGTTCAAGCTGTGATATTATATGATTTTGTAATTTGGTGGTGAGAGTAAAAGCTGTGCTGCTTCTAGTCATGTGTTGTAGGTTTGCCTTCACTGTTGTATAACAATTTCTCACGTGATTTACTATGTGGGCAGTAGCTGCATAAGGAGTTACTTGTCTCCATTTAAATTCTACAAAGAGTTCCCTTTGCAAAAGTGGAAGATGCAATTTGTTTTCATATAAGTGTCCTTATGAAATTACTAGATTGTTGTCTAATGGATAATGGGATACCTTCCACTGAGAGTATTTTTCAGTATAATGTAAATAAGAGTGTTGCCCTGTGCATTGAATCTTGTAATATAGATGAGCACATTATGACAGACCCAGTGTTCTACTGCATTGAGTTTTCTTTGGATAGAATAATATTACTGCTCTCTCTTCTTCAAGAGACTTCTGTTTGGTAATTGTTCACATCTATTAAAGTAATCTATTCTGAAAAATACAACTATTGTTCTTGGTTGAGAAAAATAACTGTAACTGTATTTAAAAAACAAAACTTCAGAGTCAAATCCTGTGCATCAGTTTGGATAAGTATCTGGGGAGCTTGCATTTTATTGGATTGTGGACTTCCTGATAAAGTGTTTTGAAACTCCCCTTCCCCGCCAGTGTACACACGATTCTGTCAGAATGTAGAAGTTATTGTTGGCCATATAAATGGAAGGAATAGATATTTTCCTTTTGCTTCAGAACTGGTGCAGTTATCCTTTGAAAGCTGTGCAAACAGATCATCTGTGCTCCAGAGTAACATATTTCACAGCTTCATTAAACTAGTAGGAACTGAGGAAATTCCTTGACTGCAGTGAGCACATTGAAACTTAAATTTTTATTGTTTGCTGTGGAAAAAAAAAAGGAGACTTTTGAAAATGATAGAGTTCCAGGGATGTACCATGCAGGAAAAAAAAGACAACTGTTTCCTTTGGCCAGGGCCATAAAATTAAGTTATGCCTTTAAAAGAACTTTCTGTGCTCTGACAGAAGCTGACATTTTTTATAAACGATGTGATTTAGGAAGTTACGGATTCTCCCTTTTAGGCGATTTATAACAAATTATTGCTGACATCTTAAGATCCTGGGAAATAGCTAAGACTGGAGCAATGCAGTGCAAAAAAGGTAACATCTTCTTAAAGAAAAGAAAATAGAGGCTATTTCTGCCTAATTTCTTATTGTCAAGAGATGGGTTAGCTATTTGCTGTAGTTTTCATGGAGTAATATGAAGAGTTTAACTTCAATTGGCCCTGCCTTTCTCAGCAAAACATGTGCAGCAAGAAGATGAACTTTTGAGAAATAAGTCAAATAGAGACATTAAGTGCTAATCCAGAATGTCATGTAGTAGTTTATGTTGCTTTTAAAAATGAGCTGTTGGATTTTAGGCATTTAAAAGGCAGAAAGAAGAGAAAGTCTATTTGGAGTAAAACATCAAATCCTGTTGTAATCCAGTGGCAAGATCTGGAAATCTCTGGATAAGAATACTCATGGTCTGAAAGAATACTCATGGTCTGAAGATGGTATCTTTGATTAATGTATAATTTACAGCACAGAAGTGTTGAGCCAGTGTTTGATTCCATGGAATACTTAAATTTACATGTAATGTTAAGTTTGTGAATAATCACATTTAAGGTGAGGAGGTTACTCATATGCTACATCTGTTACATACACTACACCTGTTTCTGAACCATGGCAGGGAATGAACTGAATCCTGTTGTAGAATTGTGTTTTTATTATAAGCTCAGAAGGGTTTTTCTGATTTATTTGAGAAGACAAGAAATACATACGAGTCTTTAAATCATAGAATACTGCAAAAAAAGCTGTGTCAAAATATGTACAACATTTTCACTGTATACACAGATACTTTACTAATGAAATGATTCTGTTTGTGCTTTAAGAATATTTAAGATATGTCCTTGGATTTGAAGAAATTTTTGTGTTTGTTGAGAAAAGAATCTGGTTTGTATGATGCCTAAATAGTACTGTGTAATTGGTGATACTGCATGTGCTGATTACCTTATGAAGAATGCTTCTTAATCAGATTGTCACAGATCATCCAAACACAAGTCAATTTGCAGTGCACTGCCTTTTGCATAGTTACATTTGCCTTTTAATTGTTTAGACCTTGGAATTAAATTATATTGCTGTTATACTAATTTAAAAGAGAAAAGTGCTATGTAGAGCTTACTTCAACTTCTACATCCTTTATTTGTATTTGGACTTTTTATTATGGTACCATGGAGTATTCAGCAGTAGGTGTTAATAATTTCAAAAAAGAGTTTTCAGTACGTCTAGTGCATTTTGCTGAGGTTATTTTACTTAACTTTGGCTGATCTACAGCCTGTTTCTAAACTAACTGCTCATGTTAGGTGGGTAGCACTTAAATTACCGTGCTGCCCAGTAGATTCACAACCATGCTGATTTCACTGTAGCCATTAAAATTCATAATTTGGTAGAGATCATCTATTTTCTAGTATAAGCACTACTTGCAGAGTGAATTTCTGGAAACCGTGATAGTCTAAAGACTTATGGTGAGCAATTTGCAGCTACACAGGGAGGGAGGTTTTTATCTCCCCTCAGTAAAATGCCTTAACTTCTCAAAGTTATCTTAGCTGTTTACAAAAATTTTAATTACTGTGGTCTGAATTTTCTTAATTAGCTTTTGTGGTGTGCTTCATACCAAAAATCAAAATTTGATAGTATAAGATTATAAGGATAAATTGTAATGGTGAAAGTATTGAGGAAAACAATGTTTTAATTTGGATTCTTTCTGGTTATTGACTGTATTTGCAGAGATGAATATTAAAACAGTAATATACATTACTATGATATCAAATTACTGTTCTTGATTGACTGTGGCTTTCCAGACAGTGAAAATGTGTTCAGGTGTTTCAAATGTAGTTCCTACTTAACTTCCTCCAGCTTGTCACTTACACTCATCTCTATTACGCTTCTGTGTTGTGTTAGTGTGTAATAGAGATAGTAATAAATTCTTCATATTCCCTTTTTCTTTATGAATATATTATTTATAATATATATATATATTTTAAACATTCAGCAAATTATGGGAGAGACCTAGTAAGAATTGGGGCCAGTTCTTAAATCTTTATTACGACTCTTTGAACCTTTCTCCCTGACTCTTGTGATATTTACATGATCCCTGTTATTAAAGCATTTGAATGGTTTTGTAGTATTGTCAATAATATTTCCCAATTTAGACTGGGTAGGAAATAGTGGTTCTAGGCCTCTGTTCACTCAAGGAGTATCTAGAATAAATGTATTTTCATTTCAGGCTTGCAAACATTGCATGGTATTTTTTTTTCCTATATAAGGCATGAGCTATAAAATACACTATTTCTTACCTGTTGCTACCTTGCAAACTTGTCAATCAAATAAATTGTCTTTAGGGGCTTTACTTATTTAGGATTTCTCATCCATTCTGAGATGACAACATCTTAGGGACTATCATTCTAAATTTTTGAATGTGCAATGAAATAACAGGAAGCATGGCCTCTAAACTGATGTGTCCTCCCACCAATGTATTTGGATAACCTCTGCTGACTTGAGTAGGATTACATTTCTTCACCACTGGATCCCTGGAAGAGCTCATTGATTTCTTCTAGTATCTGATGCTAAATTTATTTTCATATGCAGAAATAAAAACTCTGTTTGATAACAGTAGTTCTTCTTATGTATGGCAAAACAGTGTTTTCTTGTCAGTTAGAAAGTTCAGGGAACTTGTTGCTCAGTGCTGAAGAAATGCCTACTCCATGTAGCAGTATAGAAATGCTGTGATTCAGGAGCTGCGCTTTGCTAGACAGGTTTGTGTTTGTGTGTTAATCCAGTTGTGAATACAATTATCACTCAAATACAATAATCACATTCCATGCTAACTAAAAAAATATAGGCAATATGCATTTCTGGCTGTTGAACATTGAACATTTTACCCAAAGGGTTTCACTGTGTGACTAAAATACATTCTCTGATTTCTAGATACTATACAAAATATTTGCCATTCTTGCTAGCTGTTAAAGTCAGCTGGCTACTGGGTTTTTGATAAACATCTAAGTTTGTTATCTACTCTTCAAAACACAAATGGCTTTCTTGCATCTCTTTGTGACAATGGGTTTGTTGCTGCAAGTCCAGTTTACATTTGTTAAACTATGCCCTTGATTATTTTGTGCTTTTATTCTTTTATTTTTCTATTACATCTAAATGTGTCAGCTTGACTCACCCTATGAGGCAGATACCAATGTGGGAACTGCCATTTCCCTCATGCCAGGTTCCTCATGAGGTTTCACCTCATGCCAGGTTCAGTTCTTCCCCAGGAAAAAGCTTTTAGAGTGTTGGCTTTTGTATGTCTTAGGTTTCATGGAATGCTGAGCTCATGCAGACCTTGATTCTGCTTGAAACAAGTAAATGATTATAGAGACTACAAAGTTATGCTGAATAGACAGTCTAGATTATTGT